AAAAAAACCGACAGTTAATGCTACAGCCTCGAGCAGGGCATTTATCGGACCGCCAGTGACAGGAGTTAGAGGGGGCTTAAGCGGTAGGGCTGGTCCTGGTACGAGTACCATAGGAGGCAGAGGGGGGAGTGGAGGCTTGGGAAAACTGGTCTCCAACCGATTCATGGCTGGAGCTGCAGCGTCAGCTCCGCCTAGGGAAGACAGACCCCAAAGCACACAAACCTTAACCCAAGGGCGGGTGCGGCACCTGCTTCAAAAATAACCCGGCAGGATGCTGCCGATATTCCAAGCAGCTCGAGGAAAGCTGCAAACACAGGCCTGGGGGGTCGGCTAAACATGTCCGCCCCTCGAAGCAGGCATATTATGATAAAAAGGCGGCCATGAGGGTCGTGAACAGGATCGGGGACCTGCCGACAGAGCAGCTCACGGAGGAGGAGGTTAGGTCACTGGAGTGGGCGAGGGGAGTAGTATCCAGCTTGGGAAAACCGGCAGGCACTGCTCCAAAAAGGCAGCGATCTGCTGAACAGGCAGGGGTGGGGTCGCCAAAAGACCGAAAACAGGCGGCCATAAATTCCCCACCTTCAGGTACGTAGTGAAGAGAGGCGGTGAGGTACTGGCCATCATCGACAGAGGGGAGGAGGAAGGGACTATCCCCAAAGAGAAGTTGAGGTTGGTGGAGGAAGCGATCGCCGAAATCTACCTCCAAGTCCTAGAGGAAAATCCTGGACCTCCTCCTCTCTGCCATGATTCCGCATGGTATCAGGGTAGAGCTAAACTCATCGCCTGCGAGGACCATAGGCCAGCCCAGCTCTATAGGTTGGCCGTTAGTAAGGTAGGTGAAGTTTGGCCGGGAGCCAAGCTCGAGGCCGTCGGCAAGGAAGATATTCCTAGCAGACCGAGGGCTCGAGTTTGGATTCCGGCTAAACCCGCCGAGCCTGAAAGAATTGAGCGGATCTTCAGATCCTGTAATAAGGACCTGCCAACTCACAATTGGAGGGTAGGGAAGATAGAGGAGCCAGTAGAGAATAGAAGGCAGGTGTTGCTGCTCCTCAACGCCGATCCGGAGCCCCACTGGCGCAAAAGGATTGGGTGGTGATATTCGGGTTTAATGACGCAACCATTCGAATCTACCGCAGCGACGAGCCGAGCTTGGACCTTAGTGAGGAGAGCAACAAGTCCGGCCTGCGCAGCGGTGCTGAAGAAGAGTTGCCCAGCAGCCAATGCTCATCCGACTCGGAGAGGCTTTCCGGTTTGGGGCCATTATTTTAAAAAGAAGAAGACCTCCTCGCTGATGGCACCGAGGGAGAGGAGATCGAAGAGGCGGACGTGGATGTCACGATCCAGATCAACCTCCACCACTCTAAACTCGCGTCTGCGAACCTTGACGTCCGCCTGGCCAACTTAAACATCTTCCTGCTTCCACAGCTTAGTGACGGCGATCTGGTAGCGGCAAGCATTGAGCTGGAAAAGGCCAGCTTTTGGGTAGCCTCTGCGTACACGGCCCATGACAAGGACGTGCCACCAGATGGGTTTCGGTCCTTGGCCGAGGAAGCAGCCTTCAAGAATAAACCACTGGTTGTCTCCTGCGACGCTAATGCCCACAACTTGATGTGGGGGAGTACGGACACGAATGCTAGAGGTGAGTCGTTACTAGACTTCATTCTAGGGAACAAACTTAGTGTCTTGAATTTAGGCTCAGAGCCGACCTTTATAACAAAGAGTAGAGAGGAAGTTTTGGACATAACCCTGGCTTCAGACATGTTTGCC